TGAGGTGTGCATGCAGTTGCTGCCAGCATGGAGCTGATGCTGGGGCTGTGGAGCCTGGTGAGGCTGTTTGCAGCCTGCCTGCTGCAGCTGCCTGGAGCCCAGGCTGGCTACAAACAGCTGCACTGGGCTCCGGAGCCCAGCCATCAGTTCTGTGCTGGCAGCAGGGAAGAGGCCAGGGTTGCACTGATCGGGCCACTCCCCCACCACCTGCTCTGAGGTGTGCGTGCACCTGTCGGCATGGAGCTAATGCCAGAGCCTGGAGCAGATGTTTGCAGCCTCCTGGGTGCAACCAGCCCAGACTCTGGGTAGCTGCTGCCAACCACGGTCTGCTTGCAGCAGGGCTTGCAGCTGTCCAGCCGCCTGCTGGGAGCAGCCCGGGGTTCATGGCTGGCAGCAGCTGTCTAGAACCCAGGCTGGTGGTGGCGTGCTGAGCAAAATGGCTTCACGTGCCGTGCTTGACACGTGCTGGGGGTTGCTGACCCCTGGTATAGTGTTAAGGTTGCATGTGCTTGCTACCTTTTGTAAATTTCTGGCTTGAATACTTAGCTGTACAACTGTAACATTGTTAAAAACTGTTTAGTATTTGATAGAAAAATTACATCATCTTTTTAAGTTTTTGAAGAATTTGAAAACACTCCACGGTAATGGGTGGGTAAATAGGACAGTACATACATTTCTGGCAATAGCTTTTGCTGCCTTAGATATTGTAGCGTGTCCTGACCAATATTCTCTCTTCATAGTATAAGTACTGGGCGACAGAAACAAACACAAATCACAAATATTCTTATGAATATAGCTGGCTTTCGAGCTCTATTGATACTTGTGCCCTTTTATTCATGAGCATTTGGGTATATTAATTCTGATTGCTGAGAATCTTTGTAGCTAGCAGGAATGTGGCAAACAGTCTGTAATCATGTTACTTAAAACTGTATAATGATGGGAGCTGAATGTAAGCCTTATGGTTGTAACTCAGGTATTTCCTTAACTGAGTGCTTTGCATGGCAACTACAATATGCTTTTGGATAACTTAATAATTTTGGGGGTTTTTAAACAAAAATGCTAAAATGATTTTCCTGATGTGGAACTACATAGTCTGTAGAAGCCACCTCCAGTGAGTGTCTTGTGTTAATATGAATTGTGCCTCTCTGAACATTTTTCCCCACTTAAATCAGAAAACAAGCGCTCACTTGACTTAAAATATATATTAAAGTATTAAATATGAAAATTGAGTATTAAAATGGTTGGTAGAGATAAAGTATATATTTTAATTTTCTTTTAATTTTAATTAGAATGAGCTAAAAGTGACGATAGCTACATTAAAAGAAGAACAAGAGCAGCTGAAATCGCAAATCGTAGAGTCTCCAGAGGAACTGAAGAATTACAAAGAACATATGAAAGAGACTGTTCAGAAACTAAAGAAAGCTAAGGTAAGACTTGATTGATTAGTGTACTTTTGGTTAATTTTGTTCTGTCATAGGGAAAAGACCAGTAATATGAGCCTTTTTCTTCTGGAAAGATATAGAGAGCTGTTTGTGATTTATTTTTTTAAGTCAATTGGTGATTTAGTTTGGAAATGTTTTCTAAAGAATTTAAAAAACAAAAGAAATAAGCAAACCCTGCATCTTTGACCTTTTCCTACACTGCAGGGTGCAGAGTTGCTAGGCCTAGCTTTAAATGGAAACAAGTTGTTAGGCTGGCAATGTGCAGCCTAACAAAGGCTAATTTATCCTTTTTGGCACGCGTGCCATAAACTAGCTCCACACCTTCTCCAAATGCCATTTTGATCCCCTTCCCCCTATCTGATCTCCTGTTCTGCTTTCTGCTTCCTGCCCTGTGCTCCCTGCCAGATCTCCTGCTCTGCCTTAGGTTCCCTGCCCTGTCTCCCACTGTGCTGCCTGTCCCCTCCCTGATCTGCAGTGTGTCACTCACAGAGGCTGCCTGTACCATTTGTGGCACTTGTGCCACAGGTTGGCCACCGCTGGATTAGTTCACATAGAACTGTGTGGCTGCAGGTACAAGACCTTGTCCACTGTGCAAGCTATCTGTGTTATCTACTTGCAGGTTGCAGCCTGCATTGTAGATCTGTTCTCTGTGGAGGTGTAGTAAGATTTCCTTTAAGCATGCTGGGACCACTCATGCTTTGGTAACTCCCATCCAAAACTGCTCTGCTTTTAATACTAAACTTGGAGACCTTAAATTTCTTGTTCCTTGTTCCTGTCTCTGGTGTCCTGGCATCTCAACATGGGAATGGCAGTTGTCTTACAGCTCTTGATCAGGTGCTCCAGAATTATCTCTGTTCTCACTTAATATTTCTGAAGCTAGAGTTTTCTCTCTGTTAGTTTTGGATAAAATGGTCCCAGCTTAATCTCAAAATCATCATAGATTCATTCAAGTTCAAAATAAATCTAAAGGAAAAAGTTTATTTAGGGAACCCAATCCACTTAAAATCCTAGCTACAAAAAGCTAAAAGTAGCTTCAGGAACTAGACATATCCCTGAGTCCCCCTTCTAATTTATGGTTTTTACAATCCTTTCTTCCAATTAAATGTTTCACTACTGTTGAGGTGTGAAAAGGCCTATAGCAAATGAGAGGAAACTAAATGGCTATGTAGGGAGAGAATTGGTATTGGCTAAGCCTATGTCTGTCAAATGCACAAAATACGCAGGGGAATATAGAAGAAAATGTCTCTAACTTCAGTTACATGCCCATCTTTTTATTTAACTTGAAAATAGTAGGTAGACACGAGAGGCACAAAGACATACCATTCATAAAGTTTGTGTTTGTCTTTTATAGCTTGTGATCAAGACTGGATCATTTATACATTTAGTGAAGTGTGCATAATTCACACTCCTTCAGATTTCTCTCTGTGATTATGTAGCTTTTGTTTTTGCGGGGTTATGGTGGTGTTTATTACTATTTGACTGCTATCAGACATCCTGGCTTTTGCTGCTTTTATTTTAATTATACTTTTCCACTGTATCACTTGCATTTCTACAGCCCCATGAGAGTTTGTAACACACTGAATTAATTGGTTTATTTCCTCCTATCTAAATATTTGGTTAGATATCATACTTATAAATCCTCCGTTGCCTTCCAAAAGCAATGATTCCTTTCCTGCTGCCTAGTGTTGTTATACTCAAAATGTATAACCTTTCTGTAAAGCTAAACTTTGAGTTACTGTGTTTTTTTAAATTTTTGTTTCCATCACAGTGCAGGAACAAGGGTAAGAGTAAATGTGTGTTGCTGTATTAAAGAAAAATGAATATATTTCTATTAATAGCCCTTCTTTAATTTTTAAAGCAAGATATCATTGAGAAGTATGAAAGTTATCGAGACTTAGTTGAGATTCTGCCATCATGTCAGTTGGAGGTGCAGTTATACCAGAAGAGAATGCAAAGCCAAGGAGAAAATGTGGACAGAATGGCCAGCATCTTATCAGAGGTTTGTATCAGATGTGCGATATCTTCTAACGTGGAACTTATTTCAAAGCAAAACAGTATCTTTCAGCTCCCAGACATAAGTCTGTTAAGTTCCTCATCTACTTTGCCAGTCATCTTTCATTTCAATAATTCCTTTTATCCCAAAGAATGTCAAGCCACATCAAAAGCTGTGAAATGCAGCTATTGGTTAGCTGGAGAATAGGAACCACTCTACATCACTGAAGAGGAAAGGGAATCTCTTTAACCACCTTTATTAGTGTCTGAGTCCAAATAGTGGAAACTGTTAACCTTATTGGGCCATTTTGTATTGTTGGGGATGTGGGAGGGAAGAGTTGTATGAAGGAAGGTGGAAAAGGAACACATGAATTTGACTTTGTTCTATTTATAGATAGATTAGAAACTTAAAGCCTGAAGTATCATTGTACTTGAAACTATTTATTTTAATGACAACTGGAAATGTTGTTATCATTACTATAAGACCAGCATTTATTAATTAAACTTTAGCAAGGTCCAACTTCATAACAAATGTTGCACCTTGCAACAGTTGCTATAAGTTTTAGTAAACAATGCCAACACTGACCGTTAATTAATCTTAAGGTTGCCCTTAAGCCAATATCTGCTGATTCTCTAGTCAGGAAACCAATGGTACTCAACTTCTGATCCATTTCTGTAATGTGTTTGGAACTTACCTGTATGCTTCAGTCTTGAGTGTGTGCAGTTAGCCAGCAACAATTGCACAAATCCCTGGTCCCTTGTTCTGGCACTTTTGTACCGCCTGGGTGCAGAGACAAGCCAGAAGGAAAGATCTAGTAACTTGCAGAATGATTTCCAATTCCTGCTGTGAATAGTACAAAGGAATCTGGGATACATCTTTTGCCACACTTTCAAAATAAGAAGCACAATGTGAATATATTTTGATGTGGGATATATAAGATATGTTGTTAAGATATGGCTTGGTTTGGTTGAAGATGACCTCAAGTTTGATCTGAAATATCAATGTTAGATATGTCCTAAATGATGTGACCTCATCAAGCCATATCTATTAAATATTTGTTAAAAGCTGAGATTAATGCTTGGATTTACAGTAAAAATCAACTGATTTCATAGTCGTAGATACTAGGGTAAGAAGGGACCTCAACAGATCATCGAGTCTGACCCCCTGCCTAGGTAAGAGAGAGTGCTGGGGTCAAATGACCCCAGCCAAATGCCTATCCAGCCTTCTCTTAAAGACCCCCAAGGTAGGGGAGAGCACCACCTCCCTTGGAAGCCCATTTCAAATTTTGGCCACCCTTACTGTGAAGAAGTTTTTCCTGATATCTAGACTGATATTTGCCAGCTATCAAAATAAGAATGAGTAATTTTTTTATTTTAGTAAATATCTAGTAGAGAAATACAATGTCTTTAGTCTTTCAGAATTGCTTTTCAGTATTTTTTCTAAAATACTACAGGTCAGAAATCTGGAGGACCAGATTGAGTGTGCTCAGAGAGAGCTGAAGAATGCCAAAACAGATGAAATGTCCTTAAAAAGACTAGTTACTGCTAAACATGAGAAGTTGTCTACAACTGGAATAAGGATAAAGAAGAAACATGAAGATGTTGAGCAATATAAGCGCACAGTATTTGAGTATGGATGAGTTGGCATTTCTGCTTCTGCTACTTTATCTCTAATATACACTTCCAAAATTCATGTCCCTGGTACAAACATGTGGCCAATAGTGTAGAGGGAAATGGGAGTGATGAGGAGGGATAGTTCTCTTAAGACCAGTAATGCTGTAGGCAGGGACTTGGGGTCTCAAATCAATAATTGCAGTGTGACTCGACAGCAGTTCTTTTATTGGATTACTAATTTAATTTATAATGCGTATTCTTGGTTCTTTTATCTTTTTAAAGAAAATGTCACATTGGGATAATTTTCCAACTTATCAGATTTCAACAAATCCCCATTTGCCTTTCATGAATTGTTCCTAATTTCCCTTGCTACTTTTGCTCATTATCAAAGATGTTCATGACCCATAGAGAAATGGGGGTTTGTATCTCAGAGGAGTTTTAACCTGATGTGACTCTTCTAAAAAAAACCAAAAGGAAAAGTATAATTTGACCAAAGCTTCTCAGCCCATCTTCTTTTCTACTTGATACTATAGAGAAGTCCTAAGGTTCTGTTTATAACATGATTATTTCCATGACAGAAGTCAATAATATTGCAAACACAGGACTAGTGGCCTCATTGTGAGATCAAGGGGGGTTGCTGGCCTGCAGTTGAGAGAGATCTGGGACATCAAGCTTTAATAATATCAGAAAGAACACACAAAATTATTGGCCAATTGAATTTTGTGGCATATTGAGGCATCTCAAATTCTGGTCATTCTTAGTATTTGTATATACTACAGAAACCTGAATCTAGACTTCGTGGCAGAACTCCCTAGTTTCCTACTCTTTGAATTTCAAAGCAGCTTAAAATATGTCTAAAATGGAGGTGTTTCATAGTCAGTAGGGTTGGAAGGGACTTGAGCAGATCATCAAGTCTGACCCCCTGCCATGGCAGGAAAAAGTACTGGGGTCAAACGACCCCAGCAAGGTGTTCATCTAGCTTCCTTTTAAAGACCCTCAGGGTAGGAGCCAACTGTTGGTTCAGTTTGAAACAAAAAACAGTTTGAAATGAACACTGTAACATAATGTTCCCTGCTAGTAAAGGCTGCTGTCAGTTTCTTTGTTTTCAGCATACTGTAGATTTTGCATTGACTGCACATAACTTGTAGATGTGACCCCCATGTTCAGTGCTGGGGACAGAGCTTCTCATGTGGTTTTTAGTGTCACATCCTGGCTTGAACCCGATTTGTGTTTTGGTCTAGACCAAGGGTTGGCAACCTTTCACTAACAGCAGGCCATATTCAGTCTTAAGGTGTGATGGAGTGTGTATATAATTTACACTTGGCAAATACACACAGCTGATGTTCCTCCAAGTGAGTCAAGTGGGAGGGGGATGAGGGGATTCTGTTTCTGTGAATGGCTATTTTAGTCAAGATCAGGCATTATCTCTAGAGTTTCACCAGCCAGGAAGGCCATGGCTTGAAGTCAAAAGTCTTGGATCACATCTTCTGGGAAGTGCTTAATATGGTGGTCTTTAGATGGACATAACATCCTTGTTTGGGCTCTCTCTGTTGTCATGTGAAATAATTCAAGTTAAGTTCTTCCCTGAGATGTCATGAGCTTGCTTGAGAAGATGAAGGTTGTCACCTGCTGTCACAGTCTTGCTTGTATTTTGATGGGACGAGGTGGGCTAACAAAGTCTGTGGTGTCATTGTGGTGCTTATTAGGTGGGCCATATGGGATGCCTCATTACTGAGTTCATACACGGGTTGGAACTGACAGCAGATCATTTAATTCATGTTACTGTTATCAATGTCAAGCCCATGCCTAAGTATATTGGGTCTGTGCAGTAGGTAGATGTCTGCAATCTGGCTTCCTAGGTTCTACTTTTCCTTTGTCAAAGTTCCTGACAAAGGAAGTTGTTTATACTAATGGGATGGGCTAAGTGGGGGCTTTTTGGGGGTTTTTTTGGTTTGCTAGATGCCATGGGAAAGGCTAAAGTACTTTTTTTGCAATGTAAGCTGCTTGACTCTTGAGTGATTGCAGTTGAAGTTGGAGTGGGTTTGGTAGAAACATGGTGGCATAGCAACAATGGAACTGACAACAGCAATAATAATGGGGCTGATAAATGCCCTGATTTCTTTTTTGAAGTCATTAAGTTTTTACTGATTTACACCTGTTTTTCAGTTCAAATCTCTGCTAACTGGCATGAGTGGGGAATGGCCTATTCCCCACTTGTGCTGGTTAACAGGGATATGAACTGAAAAACAGGTGGTGCTGGTAAGCTAAAAGTGCCGCTTTGCCGGTTATCTGAGGCAGAGGTTTCTGTCCGCATGTGGGGGACAGGGGCAGAGGTGGTGACCACATGCAGAGCAGTGCATAGGGGGGTTGGCCATGGGCATGTGGGGGTTGGGGGAGGGTGCCTGGAGCCGCTGCCTTGGGGCACGGGGCTCCTGACTCTGACCCCAGGCAAGGCAAGCCAAGCTGTGGGAAACTTTCCTGGGGCAGATGGGTCTGAGCTGCACCCCAGCGGCTCTGGCTTCAGCCCTGCCCTGGGTGCTGGGATCTGTGAGCCCCTGCAGTGGGCACTGTACCCAACCGCTCTGCATGGGCCTGTGGGGCTGGAGCTGCTGCCTGGGGACACGGGGCTCCTGGCTCTGACCCCAGCCGGGGTGGGAGGTGCTGGTGCTGGGGTCAGGGCTGGGTCCCCCCTCCTTCCGCCCCATATCTGGCCACAAGCCACTCCTCCCTCCTCACAAATGCCAGGGCAGCCTGGAGGGCCATGAACGCAGCCAGGAAAGAAAGGCAGGGTGCAGTACCATGTGCTTCCTACCACTAATCTGTGTGCGAAGATCCCAGCACAGGCCCCCCAGCACACAGCCCTCCTGGGGGGCGCATAGCAGCAAGAGCCGCGCCCCCCTGCCCTGCACCAATTTACAGCTCCCCCCTGATTTGCTCCCTGCTGCAGCCCCAGGAGCAGCTGATGGGCTGTGCCGCACCCTCCTCTCACCCCTTCCCTAGTCCCAGCCTTACTCCCTCCCTCCCCAATTTAAACTGATTTTTTTTTTTCCTTTTCTTCCTTTTATCCTGATTTCATCCTGGTTTTTGTTTCAAAGATAAACCCTGAAAAATTCCTGGATTTATTTATTTTTTAAATAAACTGAGAATTTGGAACGCTAATTTTGAAGCATGTTCCACAGGGGCAGGGCTGTCCAACATGTAAGGTCTGGTCATAATAGCTATTGATATCAGTGCAAAACTTAGTTGTTGCTTTTCCTGAATTGTTTTGAAAACAGGCCACCCAGATCCTTCTTAAACCCTGGAGTTTCCAAAAGCTAATCTGTAAGCAATTTTCAAAGCACAGTGCAAATTAATTACGCCTTCTCAGTGATAGGAGTATTGTCTCATTTTAAAGATGAAATGACAGAAGTTCAGGTCCTACTCGGTGTTTTAGCTGGCCTTCACACCATACTGACTACTAGAGCATGATGAATGCATTGCTCAAAGGTAGAAAACTACTGAAGACCCACACTTCGGCTGTTTTTATGTTGGTATGTCTCTAGTGAAGTCAGTTTTGACAGCAGCTGAGAAACTTAATCTGTGATTATTAATGTAATGTACATTATTATAATATTAATTATTAATACCTTTGGATTTTGTTTTCTTGATGCTAAATGGCTTGAGGATTGAAGAGTAAAGCAACTTTCCTGATGCCAGTGTGATAGAGATAATTGTGCCTGTAGAAAGATAAGTATTACTAATCCTGCAAGTGCAGCTCTGTATTATGATTTAGAAAATCACTTTCATTGACATACATCTGTGGTGCAAAATCCATCTTTGTGCTTCTGTTTGATTTGGGGTTAATGTCATGGTTTAGCACTCACTATTTTATTACTTATTGCTTTAGGCATTGTAACAGAGTGCAGGAAAAGAGAGGGGCTGTTTATGAGAAGGTGACAGCAATTCACAAGGAAATCAAGCAAATAAGATCCAAAGTTCAGCAGCTGAATGAGAACACTGAAAATGAAAAAATGAAAGCTCAGGTGAGCATGGGCTCTTTTTTTAATTGTCTGGACTTTTGGTTGCTACTGAGGTGTCTTTATTATGAGTTCTGTAGCCATTATAATAAACCAAGAAGACTGTTCCATGTCAAAGCTTTTAAGAGTTGTAATCGCTGCTGCCTAATTAAATCTGAAAATGAGTTTCTAGGATCAGCATGATCTCACTTTTCTCCTTATCCACAAAAGAAAATCTGCCACAAAATCGGTACGTGGAGCCGGTGGCAAAGAAATTAATGTTAGATTAAGTACGTCAGTCAAGAGAGATCAAGAGTTCCATATAGCCCCGTTTATATGTTCAGTATTCTTGAGTCCAAAAAGCCACTTCCCGTTTCTATGCCGGTAGCAAGAACATTGGAAGTAGTGAGACTAAAGATTAGCTCATTGGAATTATGTAGTCCACAGGGTTTTAAATGTCATTGATTTTTAAGCTGTTTTCAAAATGTGTTAGCACGTTAATTAGCAGCCACAGTTTGGCATGTTAACTGTAGTAAACTACTTGTGGTTATAGACAGCTATACTCCAAGGCAGAGCCAGCACCTGTGAGGTGTGGGAAGTGAGTTGTAACTTCTGGGCTATCCTACTTGGAGCAGAGGATTGTGGAGAAGTTCCTGTGCTCTGCTGTCCTGTCCACCTTCTCCGCTAGCACTAGCCCTTACTGATCCTGTACATTGATCCCTCCGGCAGCAGATTTAAGAAATACCTTGTCCCCTTGCATTATCTACAGTCCACGTGAGCTGTGTTCTCCTGAGAAACTTGGGTGTGCTGCAGGAGGGAGGAAAAAGGGACTGGGATGTGGCACAGTTGGTCTTCTGAAAACTCGGTGAGATCCCATGCCTAACAGGCTGTCTTGTAACTTGAGGCTCTCTTATAGGCCCTTATTCAGGGATCTGTGGGTTTGGGGAAAAATAGCAGCGTACCAGGGAGGCATCTTCTTCCGGAGTATTTTGGATATTCAGGGCTGGTGTTCTGTGGCCCTAGAGATAGCTCATAGGAGAGTAGAGGGCTTTGCAGGTCTGGGAGCTGATTCCTGTGGACTTTAGGGGATGGCAAATACTCTTGCCTTCATTCCCCCTTGGTTTGTTCTAGCTTTTTGTCTTGCTCGGGGGTGCTTCCTCCTGAGTTGGACTGAGCATAGACTTGGAATCGATCAAGTTCGTGCATAGTCTCTTAAATTGTCTGTTATTGCTGATACTTGATATTATTGTGCATGTGCAAGAAACTAATTTCATCCTAATTATCTCATCTTAGGAGATCTACTTGAACCTGAGGGCTGGCTTGGAGAAGTACCATGAATCTTTGGCAAAGATAGCAGAAAACTATGCAACCTCAAGAGATGCAAAAATTGCTGAACTAAAGAGGGGACTGCTTAGTGTTCAGACTTCTTTAACTAGCTCTTAGACTTGCTTTCCTTTGTTCTGCTTTTATTATATTTATCCTCAGGTCCCAATCTGAAAGATTGCATTTTGTGTGGGAGGGATAATTACTCAAGGCAAAAAATCTGTTTCTCACAAAATCCATCAGTACACATTTAGTGTTACAGGTAAACCCTCAGTGTCAGCTGATTATTGTGGGTGCAAGAGGGCTTAGCCAGCCTGCTGACACTTATTTTTTTGTCAATTCTGATTCTTCCGATGGCAAAACTCGCCTGTGGCTTGCTGTTGGCTCTTAGAATAACTGTTTTTTTTCCAGATGTTGATGCATCTCAACATGAAGTGCATCCTCAGATCTCAGTTTTGCTACATTTGAGCTATACTGAACAGAATCCGAATGCCCCGTATTCTGTCTGATCCAGTGATCATAGTGGAACAGTAATTTTTTCTTGTATGACCTCTGGTTTGCCTGGTCTCTGAGAAACCCTCAGAGGAAAACTTCCTACTTGGGGAACCATACAATTTTATTTAGTGGTGTCCCTCCGGAACCTTGAATTCAAGGTCCTTGCTTTGTGTGGTATTGAACATTCATTTGTTTCTACAGGATGAGTCAATATTTTGGTGAACACTGTTTAAAAAAGTGTGGACTGATTATCCTGTACGTTGCATAGAAATCACTATTTGACCAAACTGGGTATGAATTGTTACAGTACGTATGTAATGCATTATATTTACATAGATATTGTAAAGACTTTTATAGTCTCACTTTTCTACTGTTTTCTTCCCCCTGTTCAGTGTGATCATTATCTCTTTGATATAACATTTAGTTTTTCAATCTAGAATACTGCCAGATACATTTTATTAGATTTTTCTGCTTTGCCCAAGACTGCTTCCTTCAATTATCACTCAGTTGAGAACTTCAGGATTTAGCTTTTAAATCTGTCTATTCATGTCCATTCTTCTGTTTCTCCCTTTCCTTTTTATCTGGCTTTTCAGTATCTCCTGATTCTCTTTTTTTTTTTCCTTCCCACTTTGCTAAAGTCTGTTAGGGTAACATTTTTAAAAGGTATGTCATGTAAATGTTTTTTGAAAACAAGATTTCAGCATTATTTACAGCTGCATTTAATCTATTTCTTAGTTGACGCAGCTTTTGTTTTAATTATTTCAACCCATCTCTCCAGGCACCAACATAAATAAAATATGATTACTAACATTAAACATTTTAATTTAATTGATTTGAGTATATTTTTAAGAATGTGTAATTTAAAAAAGTAGGAGAAATGCAAGTCATTTCATAGTAAAGGGGTAAACCTATATTCTAGAATCATAGAAAATTAGGGTTGGAAGGAACCTCAGGAGGACATCTAGTCCAACCCCCTGCTCAGAGCAGAACCATCTCCAGCTAGATCATTCCAGCCAGGGCTTTAAGCTGGGCTTAAAAACCTCCAAGGGTGGAGATTGCACCACCTCTCTAGGTAACCCTTTCCAATGCTTCACCACCTTCCTAGTGAGAGAGCTTTTCCTAATATCCAACCTAAATCTCCCTTGCTGCAAAATATATATTCAAACCCATTTCAGAATAGTGGGCATAATCTCTGCATTCCATTTTTAAATGGCTTTCTGCAGATGCTAACGACCTGCAAGTCGGGTTTTAAGTTGTCCTACAACCAAAATGTTTAAGAAAGTGTTAAATTGCAACTATTCAGTAAGACGTTGCAGGAGCAGTACAATATATTTAAATGCATATAAAAATCTATGCTTATAACAGATGGATAGTTAATATGTAATGACTGAAGCATCAAACATGAATATCAGTGAATGAAAATAATTTGCCATAATTTTCAGTCTAATTATATGTAGTCTTATAACTGCAGTTAATTCAGAGACATTCAAGGATTTGAACGTTATCTATTGTATATAGGGTCTTCATAAAGTCCTTGTGCACTTTTAAATTTTAATAACTTGGGTTGTACACAAGGACTTTATGAAGACCCTGCATTTACTCAGAAACCCAAAATGCAAGGTGCATGAGGACATTGAAACATGGTCCTTATGGCCCTTCCTTCTTTTAAATGCAGAGAGAGATACTTAGCTGTGTTAGTCTGAAGTCAAAGTAGAGGTGCACCTTATCATAGAATCAATGGACCAGAAGGGACCTGGAAGATCATCAAGTCCGGTCCCCTGACATAGGCAGGAGGTTAAAGAGCTCAAACAAGCTCAACAAGGTGCTTATCCAGCCTTCTCTTGAACATCTCCGAAGATGGCAACTGCACCACCTCTTCTGGGAGTGTGTTGCAGGTTCTAGTTACCCTTACAGAGAACAAGTCACCTCTCAGCCTCATCTTACTCAGACTGAACAAGCCTAGTTCCTGGAGTCTCTCCTCATATGGCCTATCCTCTGATCATGTGGGTGGCCTTTCTCTGCACCCTCTTGAGCTTAATCGCATCCTTCTTGAAGTGCAGGGCCCAAAACCAGGCACAGTACTCCAGCTGCGGCCTGACCAACACTGAGTAGAGAGGGAGGAACACACCTCTGTATCTGCTGGCAGCACATTGGCTGATGCACACCAGAGTTCTGTACTCCCTGCTGGTGACTTCATCACACTGGTGGCTCATATTCATCTTCTGGTTGATTGTGACCCCTAGGTCCTGTTCAGATGCTGTGCCACCAAGTAGGCTACCGCCTATCCTATGGTTATGGTGAAACTTCTTCCTACCCTGGCAATTTTCCATGTTGAACCTCATCTGTTTCTGATCAGCCCATAGAACCAGTCTGTCTAGGTCATCCTGGATCCTTACCCTATCCTCTGGTGTGCCTGCATTTCTTCACAGCTTGGTGTCAAATGTAATCATAGAGCATTCCACCCCTTCATCCAAGTCATTATAGACAAACTGAATCAGAGCTTCATCAGATGAAATACATAGTAGCTGTGATTCATGAAAGCTTATGCCCCTTTGATTCAGTTATCGTATGAAGTGCACCTCTATCTTGCCTCTTGTGTTCATTTACATATCTGTCTTACAATATCGGAGATAAATTAGCACTTCATCTGGTTCTTAGAAGGAGCCCTATTGGCCAAGCAGGTATGTCAGACCAACTGAATTAGATGTAGAAACAGAAACTGTGTACATGGCAGACTTGAGTCTGGCATAGATGTTCTCAGACATCCTTTTTGGTTCCATGTGTGCTGCTGTCCCTTCAGCCAGAAGCAGTTGTAGCTGTGTCTGCGTGGTCGGTCCTGGGAGCAACCTAATTATTACAGTCTGCATCCTAGACATGGCCTGAGCTGTAGCTTAAATGACTTGTGAAAGTCAGAGCATAAGCTGGTGTTCTGGAATTTGTTCCTAGCTATGTTTTATCTAAAAGATGTTGCTGCTTCTCATTGTCATCTATTCCTGATGTAATTTGGGGCTACATACAAAAGTAAGACTTAAGCACTTAAATCCAGAAGTGTGATCCTTAAAAATCCTGCTCACTTTTGCTGAGCCCAGGACTTGTCCAAATTCTACAAACTTCGGGCAACCAGGAGACTTAGGAGTTGTACCTCTTTGCAGGTTTAGAACTACCCCACCACAGCTGACCAGCTCAGTGCCTTGCTCATGCTTAAATAAGATTAGGATCCAGAAACTAAGTGTTCCTTTTTCAAAATCCCCCTGGAAGTTCAATCTGGTTAGGTATGTTCTGAGAATGTGAAAGGAGTTTTGGTAAAACTTACTGTATCATTCTTGCAGGGAAGTGGTGAGTACTCTGCAGATGATCAGCTTGTCTGTATGTGTATACATGTGCTGGCTGTGGGTGTATCTTCTGTAGCTGAGAAAACACCTCTGCTACCTTATGGTCTCATCAGAACTTTCATCATTACCTTCTGCTGCTGTTAGTGTAGGTTGCAACAGTGATATGTGGGCTACCTGCTCTAAGATTGATTAAAGTAGTACCCCGATAAATCAGTCTCATTGCCAGGATTGTGAAGCCATTTGTTTTATGAAAGTGGACCAAAGGGTAACTTTTTCACATCTGATGTTTTGGGTATGAGAGTGGATCTTTAGGTATATAGATACCTACTATCTTAAAGACGAGTGTCAGCCCATTGTGACGGATGAAAACGAAGTGTTTCTGAAATTAAGATGCTAATGGTTCTCTTCCACCCATCATGTACTCAGTGTAGGGGGAGAATTAAGACCAAATTAGTTGATTAGTGTTAGATTTGTGCAAGTAGTTCATGCAGAAGGATCCCTTGTACAATATGCTTAATGTCCACAGCAGGAATGTGATAACGCACAGGATTTTCACTGACTAATCTTAAATGTCCTTGTTGGGAAAGACAACTTTTGGTTTCTTTACTGGAGGGTGATAATAAATAATCCTTTCCTTTAAAATGGGCTAGGCAACACCTGATAACCTGAACAGAGCAATGCTAGACAATGTTACTTGGTCAATCATCTCTTTTGCTTGTTGCATGGCTCCTGAGACTTGCTTTCTTGAGTGCATAGTTATATGTATGGTGTATGAAGATAACATGTGCTAGCTAATGCTGTATGCATTGTTGCTAAGTTTGCACATTCAAATGAAGCTGTTATACACTGTAAAGTGGTGTGTTTCTGCAACTTGCAAGGTCATGCTTTATGCACCAGACTAGTGCTTTTTTTTTTCATCCCCACTTAATTCAATGCATTTGGTTAATCCAGCTGCAAAATGGTACAATAGAAGGTGTTGCAAGATGAGCGTGGTGCCCCATGTACTACTTACGAACATCTGATGTATTTTCCTTCAAGTAAGTGTGAAAGCTTCGAACTGCCAAGTATTTAGGCTCCTGACTCTTGCTGAGTCAATAGAAGTCAAGTGCTTAAACACCTTTTGTCAATCTCCCTAAGCTCTTATAAAGACTAGTCCTTGATTAACTTCTCATTAAGTTCTTAAGGAATATTTACTGGAAATGTCAGAAAATAAAAGTACAAGTATGTTAGCACAGTGACTCTAGCTGTGTTGCAGACTGCATTCATTAATAGCCATGTGCACTTCTGAGCAGCTTGTTATGAGCCATTCATTCAGTGTGAAGAGGAAGATGTGGGCACACGGAGTGATATTTGTATATAGCTTCCTGAATGCTTAATGGAGCTGGGCAAATTACTCATTAAAATTTAAGTTTTGCCAGTTTTGTATGCTTTTCTATTCACAAGTCGTAGGTGAAGTCATCAGTTCTAAAATTCTAATCATTATTCACTGAGAAGTTTGACTTGTTAACATGTGATTCTCACTGCCTCCAGTCATCTGTGTGACTAACTAAGAACATATAGTAGAGTTGGAATGGTGGTTAGCTGTGATGGCCTAGGAACTATCTGAAGCAAGGTAATTTTTTAGATGCATTTTATTGGGCCAACTGTTATTTGAGAGAGATGTTAGATGAGCTGTTGGACATAAAAGACACTTTCTGCCTTAAAGCTTGTCTAACATCTCCCAACTATATAGTTGGTCCAATAAAATGTATTATCTTTCTGGGGGCTGGTCCAGGAAGGGGTGCACTGGTACAGTTGCACTGCCCTTTGATTTCTGGTCCACCCCAAATCTAAAACCAACTACCTGGCAGTGGCAGCAGCATTTCTGTTCAGGCAGCAGTGAGAGTGTCAATTGA